TTAACATGAAATGTCAGTAAAAAGCCAGCCCTCTTTAATAAATGTAAATGAAACTGCAGTAAAACCTATTTTAAAATAACTATATGGAACCTGAATAACAATACACAAGTACTATATGTGTAATAGTAATACGTCAATGTATTACTCATTTGTGTAACATATTTCAATTGGATTATGATTTCCTTTCCAGAAATGTTTAGATATCAACATGTTAGAAGAGATGGTTTGAACGAATTGTTTTTTTAAACACAAGATAAAAGTGGATAAAGGTGATAAAGATAAAGGTGGAGCTTAAACTCTTATATTATTTCATAATATTTTGCGGGAAAATATTTCCCTTCTGTGATTACTTTTTTCATACTGCCGCCACCATTAATCTCAAAAATAGGTCAAATAAACTGAGCTATTGAATTTAAGTGTCCGTTTAAACAATACAAAAGGTCACTTGGGAATCGCTAAAAGTGTCCGCGTCCGCTTAAGAGAAAGTTCGCTTAATAGAAAGTACAAATACAGTGTTTATATGGGAGCAAAAATATAAAAGGGCGGGTGTGAGTTGATGGGTGTGGAAGAGCTGAAATTTCACCCCTAAGAAACGGTTATTTTGCCTTCCCTATTTTATTGGTACTTTTGCACAAGCATCAAACGCTGTTGGCTCGTATTGAGTTTATGACGACGTTGTCATACATAATGTTCGTCTTATACCCTAAAAGGGACCACAAAACTTTTTGGTGGGAATTTTCGTCATTATCACACTAAGCGGGAACAAAACACTGATTTCAAACCCTAAAAGGGACGACGAGGACCCCCACCCTTTTATATGGAGGAATCCCCTATGCCCGGTTTGATTTTAACTTTAATTGTCAAGAAGACCAACCCATAGCATATGACATTAAGCAACCAGAATGTGAAACTTTCGAGCCCCAGAAAGGAAACCAGCCCTGGACCGTGTATGTTGTTTTCAAAAATCTTTTTCTTAAATGAGATATTTCAACTCTACCTCGGTATTTAGACCACAGAAGAGGTCGTAAACCTGAGCCAAACTCTTCTAACAAAATAGGGTCATCAAATACCAATTTCCCCAGCGTTTGGAAATGAATTGATTCGTTGGTACAAAGCCATCTTTTTCTAAACGCGAAGGATTATTGCTTTTTAACCATTGGGGAGCACAGTAGAAGAGAGGTAGTTTCCGTGTGGACAGAGTCTGAAAGGCTCAGCAATTTAAGGAAATTCAGGAAATTCACAAGAAGTTCATGTTGATGCATACGCGAAAAATGAATTAGATCTATTAGCTCTTGTTAGTCGGACTAGCCGAAGGCTAGGTCGACTTAAGATTTACCTTTTAATCAATCTATGTGTCATGTCGCGTTTTGGGTTGCCTGTGTTATCACATGACCGGAAGCACAAACGTATAGATGTACGAATATCGTTAGTAAATGTTAGATTCTACTTGCGCTTTTGTGTAATAAAAAACTATTCGTTTACAAATGTGATATCTGTGATCTCATCGGAACATGTCGGAATGCATCAGTCTAGGCACCAGAAGTACGCGCATGTGCGGGTCGCATGGAGCTTCGAGTAGTATGCTTACGGAACTGAATTCTAGCATTAGACAGTCTTGTTTGGGCAAAGATTTCAAATTAGAACAAGAAGAAACTTTATTTATCAATAACAAAAAGGCGACTTTGATTATTTTATAGGCATCTTGTTTGTCAACAATTTTAATCAAAGACGTATTAGATATGACATCACTTAGCGATATCTAGTCAGTTGGAAGTTGTTCGTAGGGTATTAATTACATGACCTTTTAGGTCAAAATTTAGATTTCTATCGTTTTGAAGTCGTAGAGAGCACTGCAAAAAGAATATCGTATGATGGTGTAAATAAGCCGTAACGCATTCTGCTTTCACTATGTATTAGAAGTAAAAAATACAATATTCTACGCCATAATATACATTCAAAAATAGCTAGTCCGACTTCACGCTCCAAGAGCGTCTAATCAGTCGGACTAGCCGAAGGCGATCCGACTTTCAATTTACCTTTTAGTATCATGTCGCGTTTGGACCACCGGAAGTTAAGAATTTCATAATTAACTATTGGGTTGGCCGTGTTATTACATGACCGGAAGCTCAATCGTATAGATGTACGAATATCGTTAGTATATATTATATTCTACTTGCGTTTTATATGACAAAAAAGACTATTTGTTCACAAATGTGGTATCTATGATCTCATCAGAATGCATCAGTCTAGGCATCATAGGTACGCGCATGTGCAGATCGAATTGTGCTTCGAGTAGTATGTTTACGAGTCAAAATCAATGACCTTTCTAGCGTTAGGCAGTCTTGTGTGGGCAAGGATTTTAAATTAGAACAAGAAGAAACTTTGTTTATCAAAAATAGAAAGGCGAATTTAATGATTTTATAGGTATCATTTACTTTGTAAAGTAATTATTTTCTTGGCCTGAGAGGTCAACGTATTAGATTTCATGATACCACTTAGCGACATTTTGTCTCTATTAGTCTATTAGCTCAAGTTTATTTAAAGTCTCAAGAGAGTTTGGATATTTTGAGCTAGACGTCTCTTATTAGACCGTGAGTTCGGCTATTTTAGAGAAAAATTAAGACTATATGTTTTAATCTAATTTTTATATTTTATGTAATATCCTGTCTTTCTCAATTAGTTTGTCCGACTTCACGCTCCAAGAGCGTCTAGTTTTAATTAAAACAGTGATCACACATCACGTGATCTGAACATATTTGCACTACGTTGCGGGTCTTCTCGACCTTTCTTGATCCCTCTAAAAAGACCTGGTTTGCTGTAACTAATCTAATCTGCGGGGGAGTCCCAATCGATGAAGAAAATATTTTTATTTCCACTCCCTATATTTGCTATACGGGTATGTGACGTTTAAACGTGTCCCTGTCTGGGTTGGGGTATCATTTATGCCGGTCAATTTGTCTGGGATAGGGTAGTCTTTTTGTCTAGGATATGGTTGTCTTTTTGTCTGGGATAGGCTAGTTGTTTGTCTGGGATAGGGTATAGTCTCATTTTTTGCTTGTGATCCGTATCTGCGAGGACACGCTTTCAGCGCTAAAATAATGTACATTTTCGTAGCGTATGTTACGTATAAAATCACAAAAATTGGTCTGGGATAGGGTATGGGTTTTGGGGGTCGTGCTGCACAACCCCAGTCATGTTGATGAGGGGAGTACCTCCCCTCCCGGATGGGACTGGCACTGTACACACAGGATTCTTCTCACGCGGTTGCCAGAATTATGATATACAAATATTTTAACTAAAACACAATACGTTTCAGTGATTACAAAGCCATCATGCCATCACTTACTCTAGAGAAATAAGGAATAGTTTACGATATTCAACAAAGTAATCCTTCAGCTATTCTCTTGTGGTTTAACTTTTAACTTTGCAGTGGTTTCCGGTATAACCTCCGACCTCACCAGCCTGAGCACACGCGGTCCGTATTCTCTACAATAGCCGGCGGCACCCCTTCAAGGTTTAAACGTTCTTGCTGATATACTTGCTTGATATACTTGCTTAACAAAAATAAACACAGAAAATCTTCGTTCTACAAAATACCTTAAAAAACCTGCTTGAAAAGGTAAGCTAAACTACCACTTGTAGCGTATAGATAGTTCTATAGCAAAGATTAACCGTGCTGTAGTGGCCTTATATTGATTGCACATAAATAGGGAGCATTTCATAGAAATTGTCTTGTGCTTCCAAATTTCAATATCTCGTGAACAAAGATAGCTAGGGGCTATACATAGTTCAGATTTATGTCCACATTATACTAACAATCTTCGAGTTCTGAAGCCAAATTGGCGGCTTGATCTTTTTAAAGAATTTTAAAAAATCTTAGATTCTTCTGTGCGGCCATTATCAAGGATGTAACTACACGTGTTAACAATAATGCAGTAGCGCAGCTAACGGCAAGCGCTCGAGGAAACTTACAATGAACAGCGCACACACTTCTTACAATGAATAAGGCTATATTGCAAAATAATCAAACAAATTTTAGCAACTGAACATACTAGCTATCGCATAGAGTTCTACGCAGAAGAATCTAAAATTTAAACATAAATATGGGCCAATGTGTACAATGAGATTCTAGTCATTATTTTCCATTTTGTATCGGTCAGTAATGCCACAATTCAAACAACCGCACGTTTTTGCGATTATGCAGAGGAGATTGGTCACTCTGTTACAAAGGATTATTGTCCGGATATGAATTTTAATTCATTTGAGCTTGACTGTCAGAGTGACAAAACCTAAGTCTGCACTGTAAATAATTGACGCTTTATTTCACCAAGGATCATATTTCTTGATTCTATTCTTATTGCGATGAATTAGTAGACTTTAAAATAATGAACGAGTAAACGAGAAGTATTTTGATCATGATTTAGCTTTAGATATTTCAGTTACTAGCCGTAGCCATCGTCAGTAATGTACGTAACTAAAAGAATCTGAATTTTACATGTAAATAGTGTAAGCAAATTGACTGAATAGATTTCAATAAACTTTACAATGAAATTCACTGGAGATTCTTTAAAACGAAGCGCTACCGCTACTACTGAAAAGTGACACTCAATCAAATACAAAACAGATACGTTTTGTTTTGACCATTTCATGCTGGGAGCATATTATTGCACTATAACTCCTCGAAAAATTCAATTTCCCCTCAAGCCAAATAATTCCGTAGGAGTGGCAAGCCTCCTCTGGAGATTATGCGTGTGCAAGATTAGCGTGCACGTAGACTGCGTAGCGGCTCTATGGGATGGAGGGGAAAACCGGCAGGGGAGGTGGTAGGGGTTTTCCTCATAACCCCTCCCCTGGAACCACTGTGCATGCAACTCGTACAGTGCGCTTGGCTGGCTTGGAGCGTGAAATATAGTACTATAGTTACTATATAGTTACTAACAAGCAAACTCTAAATTTGGGCGTTATCGTTGTTTCCATAGGAATCTTAAACACGCAGATATATGGAAGTGCAAGATGTGATGACTTTAATCGGTAAGCCCAAAATTGAGGTCATCGAGTGGATGCAAAGGGACGGACTTTTGTCAAGGGAAATGTGGTGCCACCAGCACGAACATGCAATTGCAATGAGGTTGAGAAGGGATGCTGGAAGAAATGATAATTATGCATGGTAGGTGAAATCCTGGTATGGTAGATTCAGTAATTATAGATCAATAAGAGCAGGATGAAATGAAATTGTACAAACGAGGCTTTCTTTTATCTATCTTGAATAGGAGATGTGGCACTTGCCGAAGACGGAGGTCTATCAGGGAAGGCTCATTTTTTGAGCTTTTCCGAAGAATAGAACTGGGGCACCTGTTGGCTTTACTCGTGTTTTGGAGCTTGGAGGTGAAACAGGTCACCTCATCACGGCTTCTGGGAGTCAGCAAGAGAAGCGTGTTGGAAGTGTACAACCACCTTTCGTCTATTTGCAGTGATGATCTGGACCGACGCCCATTGATCCCTTTTGGTGGTCCAGTATCTATCCTGCAAATAGACGAGAGCAAGTTCTGCGGAAAGAGGAAGGTGATCTCATTTTTAATATTTTCTTTTACAACATCGGCAATAGTCATTTATATATTTTAAACTGTTGTACAGCCTTTTGCAAAAATTGTGAGAATTGTTGAAATATCATAATATCAAGTGCATGATGGGTAATCCCGCGCGATGCCCTTAGTCCCTTGTCTTTGTAGTTAAGTTGTTTTTTTTGGCGACAGACTTATCCGTAGTTCTGAACATTTTCTCGATGTCAACAATGAATTCTTTAGCAAACCCGCGTGTTCCGGACAATATATGGATATGGATATTATGATATTTAGATATTTAGACAATTCTCATAATTTTTGCAAAAGGCTGTATCACAAGTTACTTCAATAAATGAAAATTTCTCGAACATATGTGAATCCGTTAAAACGGTATTCTTGTACCTGCATAAATTAACTGAATTTCAGTACAGTGGGAAAACCCTTTAAATCATAAATTCGAGGATAAAACTGCTTGCACTGGAATTTCAAGAAGAGACAAGATAATATGTTTCATACCATTTTTAAAGCCAATCTGTTCCACTTGTTTTACAGTATAATAGAGGAAGGCTGCCTCGCAGAGACAACTGGGTTTTTGGTATCGTGGATACCAGCTACTCACCTGCGCGGGGATATTTCCAGGTTGTCCAGCGACGAAATAGGGCGACGTTGCTACCAATTATAAGACGATCAATTTTACCAGGGAGCGTCGTGCATAGCGATGACTGGGGCGCCTACACGAGGCTCCAAGCTTTAGAGCCAAATGTTGCTGAGCATCAGGTTGTGGTTCATCGTTACAACTTTGTTGAGCCACTAACTGGTGCTCACACCCAACATATAGAGGCCTGCTGGAGCCGTTTGAAGCTCAAGATCAAAGAGAGGAAGGGAGTATGCCACTTCCTATTACAGGATTTCCTGAACGAACAGGCGTGGCGGGACTGGCGTGGCAATGGCAACGTTTTCACAAGCTTTAAACAATTGCTGCTTGAAAGATTCCAGGTGTAATGTAAACTGTAGGGACTTTTAATTATTTGTGAAAATTGCAGCATTGATTATTATCAGAGATTAGTTTACTTGCCCCTTGCGTAGGTATAGCATGATTTTATGCACGCCTTTCGATCTTTTATTCTTGAGATCCCGGGGGGGGGGGGGGGGGGGTACTCCCATATATTTGCTTTACGGTGACGTGCCGCTGGCCAGGGTATGGTTTTTGGCCTTGCTGTCTTAAACAGGGTATACATTTCACCCGAAATTGTCTTAAACAGGCTCTACAATTTAGATAAAAGAGACCGATATAATTTTTTTGTGTGTCTTGGACAGGGTAATATTTTCATAACACCGTAGAAATAGTAGAAATACCGTTTCACGTTCCCAGGATTAACGTGTTATCCAGTGGAAAACTTCTTATTGTCTTTGATGGATGTCAGTATATTTGCAGTTTTGATGGTTGCGGCGTAGATAGCTATTCCTTATTTTTCCGATTTGTTTACTTTTTAGTGTCTTAAACAGGGTCAGGGATTTAGACCGCTGGCGGTACGTACCTATCCAAAACGTGGTCGAGTACCCCCCCTCCCCCGGGTTGAGATCGTTAACTTTTCGCACTCCACTCGAGAATAGGTGAAATACTTAAACGCGTCTGAATAAAGTTATTATATATCTACGCCAAGGATAAGCAATCTTATTTGTATTTATTTTCCATGAATGATTTTACATTGCTTTTCCAATCGTTAATTCTTGGCTGATCATCTCTCTCTCTTTTGAGGTATTAGTTCACAAACTATCTGTCACCATTTATTCTCGGCTAAGCATATGTAGATACAGGCTGTACAGATCATAGCCGAAGTCATATACAGCTATTTCAAAAAGGTTGTAACAGTGGAGAGCGAATCCCAGACCAAAAGTCATAGTCGGTACGGATTATAAGTATTGGAAGTACTCTATCATGCGGAGAGGCCTCAATAATGTTGTTTCCATCAAATAAAGACTTTTCGATGATGGTATGTTTGGTTTGTAATACTCTTCCAGCTGATTGGTGGGTAATTTCCTTCGAAAGCTGAATACCTTTTAACTTTCGTTCGTTCAATCCCTGTTATGTTCTGACAACATTTTATGAAATAGCTATATGCAAGTGAACAAGTCAGAACTTAGTTTACCATTTTCTTAATCTTATACACAGTGTGATAACGAAACTCCTGTAATTGCATGGTCATGCATAGCAACCTGTACAGGAAAACAAGTCAATTAGTATAGGAAATAGCACTGTTCGAGAAGAATTAATGATCATGAAGAATTAATGAATTAATGATTATTTGATGAAAGTGAGTAATATTAATTCTCACTTTCACTCAAATACGGGCGGTATTTTTCATTAGTTCTTCTCGAACAGTGAGAAAATAAATGCAAGTCAACGTCTCTGCATTTTATGCTCAAAAAATCAGTAGAAACTGAACTACACTTTATTTTCTCTTGCCCCTTCTATGATCAATTAAGACAATAATTTTTAGCCTAATAAGAAACGAAATTAAAATCAATAAAAATAATGACGAAGAATTCATAATTGATACCCTCATGAATTCATAAAACGAAACTGTTATCGTTAGTTTAGCAAAATTCATCCATAAGTGTTTAGAGAAAAGAAATTGTAAAATCGCCGAAAATGAATCACTGCAATTAACAAAATAATTACAATTATACCTCTCAAACTATAACTAAATAATTTATGATTAATTTTTTATAAGGGACTGTGCAAAAAAATGACTGTCAAAAAAAATATTACAACTACGTCTACACTAGAAAATCTATTATCCAAACCATTCTATTCCTCGAAATTCGTTCCTGAGTAATGTTGAGCTTCCTGTGAAAATAAAAGGCAGAAAATGGGTTTCCTGTGCATAAATAACGTGACCATCATGAATAACGTCTAATGACGTTATAAAAAAATTGTGACGTTTCATGTGTCATAGGTGACGTCATATGTACTTTGCCATGTGTCTTTGCCACATATCGTTATTCTGCCATGTGACGTCATATGTACTTTGCCACATATACTCTGCCATGTGACGTCATATGTACTCTGCCATGTGACGTCATATGTACTCTGCCATGTGTCGTCATATGTACTCTGCCATGTGACGTCATATGTACTCTGCCATGTGACGTCATATATACTCTGCCATGTGTCGTCATTCATACTTTG